GGAGTTAATGAAACCATTTTTGCTTCTAGTCCAACTTTGGCCTATAGAAAGAATTGAAATTTTTCGTGGACCTGCTATGTGAACTGTTACTTTTGTAAAATCCTCCAAGCACTCCCACATTTTAAGTAATCTAAGAAAAATTGATTTTCTTATTAAGATATTACCACACGAAAATATCAATACACCTCCACAATTTTGATATAAATCAGTATATAACATTCATCATTTATTGATTATGGTGTGCTTGAATCATAAAATTCCAAATCAAATTTAGGAAATAGAAAATTCAGAATAATTATGACTACACAAGTTGCAATTGTGTGATAACATCATAATCATATCACAAAATATGAATAAAGAGGATGATATTTTTAAAAACCAATAACTCAAGTACAAAACTATATGTAGAGCTTACTGTTCATTGTTACAAAACTAAAAATAGACTACAATTATTTTTGCTTAACAACATAGATTTAATTCAGAGACTTCATCAGAAAGAGTCTCCTTCTCAGTTATATTGGCTTGAAAAGACATTTTATTGGAGTTCTCATTGTCCCTATGCGGTCGGCGACAATCCTTAGCACGGTGCCCTTGTATACTACAATTGTAGCATTTGCCATTGAAGCTCTTATTGTCACCACCATTAGGTCCACTTCCAGTAAACTTTCTTTTCTTGGTTCTCTCTGATTATTCCACCACATGCGCACTAGCCCCTATAGGATAATCCCCTACTTTCTTCTCAAAAGCCCAATTGTCTTCTTCTATCCTTAACCTTATAATCAAATCTTCAAACAACATTTCTTTGCGTTTATGCTTTAGATAATTTTTGAAATCCTTCCATGACGGTGGCAGCTTCTCAATGATAGCAACCAACTCATTTAGAATCATTCCTTCAGCATGAATGTCATGAAATATCACTTGAAGTTCTTGTACTTGACTGATGAGGGTTTCAGAATCTACCCTTAGGTATTCAAGAAATTTACCGACAATAAATTTCTTCATGCCAGCATCTTCTGCCTTATACTTTTTGTCGAAAGATTCCCATAATTCTTTTGCCATCTTCAATGGACTGTACACATTATACAAAGTATTGTCCAGCCTATTAAGGATATAGTTCCTATATAGGAAATCAACATGCTTCCATGCTTCCACTACAACAACCATTTGCTGATCAGCCTCATTTTTAGTTAAAAGGAGAGCATCTTTACGGATGAACCTTGCCAAATTCAAAGTTGTGATATAGAATAACATTTTCTGTTGCCATCTTCTAAACTCTGCTCCATTAAACTTTTTTGGGGTCTCACCATGGTTTATTCGAACTGTTGCATGAATAGGTGTCAGAGTAGGAACAATAATAGTAATACCAAAACTAGTATTTCTAGTTTCAGAAGCCATTATTTGAAATGGCTTAAGAGATATTTTCAGGAGATAGAAGTAGATTTTTATTTGGAGGCAAAAGATCACCGATTAAATCAATTTCAATTTGATTAATTGCATGATAAATTAAGAGAAGAATAGGAAATCTTCTCTCTAGACAATTCACTTAATTTGTTTTCTATGGTCATGAATTTGGTATGCCTCAAACTTTATATAATTTCCATGGAATTTCTCTCAATGATTCATATTGTAATTTTTTCTTTTTGCTCAGTGGATTAGAAAAATTTAAAGTTTTTTTTTTTTTTGGTTATATGTAAGAAATAATGGCTTCTGAAACTAGAAATACTAGTTCTGGTACTACTATTATTGTTCCTACTCCGACACCTGTTCATACAATAGTTCCGATAAACCATGGTGAGAAACCATAAAAGTTTAATTGTGTAGAGTTTAAAAGATGCCAATAGAAAATGTTATTCTATATCACCACTTTGAATCTGGCAAGGTTCATCCGTGAAGATGCTCCCGTTTTAAATGAAAATGAGGCTGATCAGCAAATGGTTGCTGTAGTGGAAGCAGGAAAGCATGCTGATTTGTTGTGTAGGAACTATATCCTTAATGGGCTGGACAACACTTTGTATAATATGTATAGTCATTGAAGATGACAAAAGAATTATGGAAATCTTTGGACAAAAAGTATAAGATAGAAGATGCTGGCATGAAGAAATTTATTATCGGTAAATTTCATGAATACTTAATGGTAGATTCTAAAACCGTCATCAGTCAAGTACAAGAACTTCAAGTGATATTTCATGACATTCATGCTGAAGGAATGATTCTAAATGAGTTTTTCCAAGTGGATGCTATCGTTGAGATGCTACCACCGTCATGGAAGGATTTCAAAAATTATTTAAAGCATAAATGCAAAGAAATGTCGCTTGAATACTTGATTGTAAGGTTAATGATAGAAGAAAATAATCAGGCTTCTGAGAAGAAAGTAAGGGATTATCCTATGGAGGCTAGGGCTAATGTGACAATAAGAGGTTCAATGGCATATGCTACAATTGTGGTATATAAGGGCACCGTGCTAAGGATTGTCATCGACCGGGTAAGGACAATGAGAACTCCAGTAAAAGGTCTTTTCAGGCCAATGTAATTGTAGACACTCTATTTTGACCGACCCTAAGACTTCGGCGCTTCCTTTTAATTAGCGAATGATGAAAATAAGAATATGTTTTGTGCATTATTCTCAGTAAGAAAAATGAAATTTGTGCTTCAGTTCAAAACCTAAGCTTGTTTTGGCCAAGTGTTCAAGACCCGTTCAAAGCTCTCTTTCGAAACTTTCCTTTCGCACTTTATTCTTAATATGCCCATAATGTTTCGAGGTTCATTTTAAAATTTCAAAATGAAACTTTTTTGGGGGAAATTGAGCAAAGAACAATGTGGAAATAGGAGGAAAGGACGAGAATTCTGTTGAAAACCCTATTTTCCCTAAAAAGAAGAAAAAACAATTATGTGAATAGTGGCCAGTCGGCGTGAATAGTGGCTAGTCGGCATGAATAGTAGCCGCCTGGTAAGTTTTGTGGCCGGCCGGCATCTTTGGTGGCTGAGTGGATCATTTTGTCGTCGAACTGGCTACTTTGCCCAAAAACAAGGTAGTTTGCAGAATTCTTGATAAAAGCGTGTGGGTCATGCCCAATTCAAATATTTATTGTTAGATACACCCTCCCTCAGCCCAGTATGACCCTTCATTATCATCTCTTTGCCACCTTTGTCAAAAGATAGTTCATTTTTTTCCTTAAAGTAGGCAACCATTTTCAATCCATCCATATCACTCCATCACCCTTGTCTCCCATGGTCTCCCACCTCATGGACTTTGCATCAATCTATAATTACATATAGAGATAGAGTGTATCAGATTATAGAGAGAAGAGAATGGCATTGAGAGAAAAGAGAGAGCTAGATAGAAAGAGAGAAAAGTGTAAGTTTTGAGCCAAAAGCTTTCTTAAGATTGTATACACTAAAATATCACCTTTCAATAAACAAAACCTAGCTCATAAATTCTGTTAGTGAGATATTCAAGAGCCTTAATCAAAAAGAGAGTGAGTGTTCTTTGGAATTGTGAAAAACGTAGAGTTGTATAACTTTCCCCCATAACACTGTTCTATCTCCCAAAAACACCATTCCAACTTGAATTTTAAATTTCCAATTTGAGAATTGAGAACACACTTCCATAAGCTTGAGGGTAAGCAAAAGGAAGTTTGGAAATCAAATCCCTCCTTAAAAGGTAAATTTTGTACACTATTCATTTCTTGCATTTTCTTTCTTTCATTGTTTTTCTTGCTTCAATTTCATATTATAAACATGTTGTAAGCTAATTGGAAGTGGTTAGTTTAGCCACTTGCATACTTTCCGTTTGTTTTTCTAGTTTCCAAAACAAAAACAGAGCATTTCGCCTAGCTTGAGTGTCTGGCCGGCCAATTTACTTGTTGGTCTGCCACTAAAGTGACACGTTGGCTGGCAGGTTTTTGTGGCTAGTCAGCCACCCCTCTCCTGGACAGAATTTGGCAGCTGTAGACACCCCATTTTTGACAGTCCTCAAGACTTGGACGTCACCGTTTGAACACTCGGTCATCATCCATGTTTGTGTTCGTTTGGAGTTCCTGGAGGTCTCGGCTATGCGCCTTGCCTCAGGATCTCCGAACTCGACCGTTTAGTGTTTGGTTTTGCACCAAACACTTGTGTTTTGCCTTTGGAAGGGCAGGGTAGGGCTTGTAGACCATCCCCACCCACCACCGGCAGTGGCTAGAGGCCACCGGCTGGTTTTTGGCTTCCATCGGCACTGTAGTTTGCCGGTCGACATATTTTATTGCCGGTCGGCACTTTTTAGTGCCGGTCGGCACTCAATTTTTCCAAGATGGCATTTTTGGCCGGCCGACTACTGTGCATCTGCTTTTGCAGATATTTTAAGACAGCTGTCTTGCTTTTGCTCCCCTCCATACACGTGTATGGAGGGATCTCCCTCTTATGAAGCTTGTCTTGTAAGCTTTACAAGACAAGAAGCTTCTATAAGGAGAGGGGCTCTCTCTTGTTGCTAAGGTTAGAGGGTTTAGACATTTTAGAGAGAAAAAAACACAGACCAAGCTCTGGTTTTAGGGTTTGAGTTACATACACATCCTATCTCTATATTACACTTGTGTGTGTTTTAGTCCATACTATTGCACACAAGCACCTAGTGTTTCACCTTCCTCTTGAAACTATGGTTCTAAGGGCTTGTTCTTGAGGTTCTTGACTGGTTTCAAGCCAAGGAGGGCCATTGGAGCATCACTTGTAAAGGGGTCTTCAAGGATGAGAATCTAGTCCCTTTTTACCCCAATCTTGCATCTTGTTTTTGCCTATTTTAAAATCGTTTTTGAGCTTAGTATATAATACAAAAAAGTTCTGTTTTTAGACCCTCTTGATTGTTTATTAAGGATGTTTTGCGGTTTGGAGGTGTTTGGCCCCTCCTAGGCCTTGAAAGGCCTCATTTTGTGCTATTTTGTGTGAGTTTCGAGACTTTGATGTTTGGGCCTCTTCACCACTGAAATCTTGAGGGATTTCAGTGGTAAAGATGGTTCCTTGAAGTCTCCAAAAGGGGAGGGCCACCCTCTTCCCTTGTTGTCCTTGAAATGGACCATTTTTGGCCTCTTAAGGAAGCATCATGTTAGAGTATGTATTGACCATGTCTTGGCTGCTTTCCATGCTTAATATGTTGTAATATACCTCTGTTTATTGTTGGTTTTGGTACACCATGCATGCTTAGCATACCTACCATGTAATGCCTTGGAATTGCCTTAATATGCCTTAGGTTGTTAGCCCTTGTTAGAGCATGTTTTAGGCTTAGTCTTGTGAAGATTTTGTGCTTATCTTGACATGTTTTAGGTCTGTCCATAAGTGTTTGGGTTGATCTTGGCATGCTTAGTATAGCCCCTTTGCATTCCGGCTTGTTGGCCTTAAGTGCATGCATGCATAGCATGACATCTTTGCATTGTTTCGGTGGTTTGGAACCACCCTACACGTTATTTCAGTCCTTTTAGCATGCCTAAATGTTTGCATTTTGTTGCCCTTTTGTTGCTTCAAGAGTTGATGCTCCATGCTTCATATTTGTGCCATGATGTATACCTCTAGGATTAGGTTACTTGGATGTCATCTAAGTGATTCTTCAGGCTTGTTTTTGCATGATTTGGGACTGTTTTCGTCCAATTTGGTCATTTGCTTCATGAGTCATATGATCATGCTTTAGGTCCTTGGGCCTCATTGTATGTATAGCTTGCATTGGTAGGTCAATTTGGCATCATGTCCTACATGTTTTCAAGGCTTATAATGCATGCTAATTAGTCCATGATTGCTCCTTTCAAGTGTGCTTGAGGGTTGTCTAATTTGTGCCTAAGTGTTGGCCCTTAATCATATGTATGTGTGCATGTGTTTTAGTCCCTTGTTTTGGTCATTTTAGCCACTGTTTTGGGCCTATTTTGAGCTGCCCAAATCATGTTCAAGACCACCTTTTCATTGGTTGGCATTGCCTCGTGTTTGCTTGTATGCTTGCAAAAGTGTCTTGCCATGCCATGTTGCATCCTTAGCTTGTATGCCTAGGTTGCATTGCATCTTGCATGCATGCCTTGTTCCTTGACTTGGTGATAGGAATTGGGCCTTGGTTTGTTTGATTGGCTTGCATTTCATTTAACATGAAAGTTGCACACTTGACTCTTTGGGCCATCATGCATGGAAATACGTGATTGGTGGTCCGAGAATCGAGACACATGCCCCTTTGAGTCATTACCATGATAAGGGACATGGTTGGTGCATACATGCCTTGAATTGTGCTGCCATGCTTTGCCTTGCCCTCTGTTGCTGTGAGTTGCAGGTTCTGCAGGCTTTCTTTGCCGACCGGCAGTATATATTGCCGACCGGCAGTAAAACCTCAATCCAGTCCAACAGCCTGCAGCCAAGCCGCAAGATCCATGACCCCGTCTACAACAAAT